CAAAAATCCTGATGGTGCTGGTGACTCACTTCTATTTTCGCCAAGAGACTCTCTGGTATGCTTGTCTAGTGCGATAAGCCAGCTGAGCGAGTTTGACCAATGAAAATGATGGCTCTTAAAAAATATGTATAAGATATATAAATGATAAAAAATCATTTGTTCGCCAGTAATGTAGTATATTGTATGTACTTATAATTTAGGGTAAGCCAATAACTTATTTACACCAATCATTTCCATTCAAAAAAATTATCAATCAATTTATACATATCTAAAAGAAATATTTTATACAAAAAAATATTTATTTCCACTTTTATTCTGGACGCATCGGAGCGGCTCTCACCATTACTGGTTAGGTTATAAGAGTAAAACTATACTTTCAAAATCTTTCCTAACTATATCAGTCCAGATCTTGGTTAACTCACCTCGCTTTTGGTGCTACCCATCATAGGATTCAGCAAATAACGAAATATATCTTGTGGTGAGCGACGAAGAATGTAGCCTAACCAGCGAAGGTGACGCTCTTTGATGGTACTGTTAAGTGATATTTAAATAAAGATGGATATGATCATGAGAGATTTTATTCATTCGGCGAACCTGTTGTACCTTAGATATAAATGGTCAAAGACAGATATGCTAATATGTTCCACTCTCATTGGCCATATCTTACAACCACGTATCAAATCAAGCAAATTATAGATGCGAATTTGGCACTACCTCAACCGAAATTTACAAAAATAGGTGTTTTATATGAGACGAAGACTTACTTTCTTTTTATTTACATTGACCCTGAGTCCCATTCTCGTTGCAGTTGCTGATACGTTGTTTAGCATTATTTGCATTTCATCATAATTTTCAGCAAAAAGAACTACATCATCAATGTATTCAAGATCTTTGATGCTCTGTACTGGTTTCTTTTGAGTAAGCGATGTTCATTATCCAGTCTATCGCATAATTGAATATTGTGGGAAAAAGGGTGCAGACTTGACGGACACCAGTTCTTATTTCGAAAGAGTCTCTCAATTTCTAATATACACAGAAGTGTGCTGAAATAGGCTGGTAAAATGCCTTTATTCGAATAATTTTTCTCTGAAACATTCCATTATTCTTCAAAAGACTTTACCAATTGAATATCAATTAAATAAGGCACTTAAGAAAAAAGAATACTTTATGAAAGAATATCTGTTGAAAATGATTCCAAAAAAAGTCGTAAGTAATGGTTCAAAGAAAATTCTTTAATAAAATTATACAAAATTTGAGGTCTCAGTTGGCCTCTGATAAATTAGCCTCATTGAATGAAATGTTGGCAATGGGCAACTTAAAAGTGAAATTAATAGAATGATATATATGAAAAAATGACCATAAATATTCCAAATTCTTTCAAATTCCTTTAGAGATATCCATCGGAAAATTCATAAAAACTATAGAAAAATATTTTAAAAGGAAGGAAAAACAACCCTGTTTAGCTAGTGCAAATATACCAGAAAAGCCCTGCAGAAAATGAGAAGATTATCGCCGATAGACTACTGGCGGAGAAAACTGTCACAACTTTTATTATCAAATATTATTAGTTTTAAAAAAGTTTATCAGTATGAGAAGAAAAGATAAAGTCGAGAATACCCAAAATTCATCTGGAAAATAAATATTTGCCTACCTTCATGTTTTTTTTATCAGGAATATTCACTTGGTTGTTCAAATGAAATAATATGCATGTAAGATGAATGCGTATTATCTTATGGTAGATCGGCTAATCTATCCCCATTGCAAGAAGACTTCAGTAGAATTGGCTAACTGGTTGCGTGGTAAGCAAATCATCCTTTCCATTCGAATATGCACTATATTATGAATAAATTCAAAGTAGTCCAATCTTTCACTACTCTTCATTACTGGAATAGTATAATAAGACATACGTTGAATATTTCGATCATTCAAATAAATTCAGAGGAAAATCTTAATTACAACCATATTAAAGAAAATTTCAAGACTATTGAACTTTATTTTTCGCTTATTTAAAATTAAAAATGAAAACTTTTTTTTAAATCAAATTATACAAAATGTTCCTTCGATTTCCTACTTAAGTATAATAAATAATGTTTTATTTTCACCGTCCTATATACCCCCGTAAATTATATAGATCAGACTCCTTTCAAGTTCGATGAGATCCAATGGATTCCTAAAATCTATTTGTGAAGATTTCATTGATAACTGAAATAAGCTCGCCAACGATTTTCGCTATTTTAAAAAAAGGGCCTTGTATAGCAAAGTCCAAATTATACAGGATTTACATTACATTATCCGTTCCTTTTATAATATTTGCTTTGTATTCGCTTTAAGTCGATATAAGTAATTTCCTTTCATTTGTCACTTCATGTGTTGTTATCAATGCAAGCATATGGTTGGGCGCATATCCGGGGAAATTTGGCAAGTCAATATGCAGCCAAATTTCTATTACCTCGATTTTTTATTTAGCCCAAAAAGTTGAAGGAATAATTAAGCAAAATTTTTATTTTTACGAGATTTACAAGGTTTTATTTGGTTATTTAGTTAGACTGCATTGATACGATTGATAAATATAAAAGCTGGTTCTAGAACTAATCGATTTCCATAATTCCATTATTTCTTTGATAATACTCAAAGTTTTTGGTTCGACCAACTCCGCTGGCTATTGATGAGGTCATTAGGACCATCTAGATACCAGTAATCCCTCTGGATTTTTAATAATATTCCGGGAACAGGAGTCAAGCCCTCACTTTCTCAACACGATAATCTGAATTCTTTTCCATTTGTTCTTGTTCTTGCTAACCACTGGCAGCACATCGAATTTGCTTGTATTCTTGTGAACAAAGTAAATAATCTGAGAAATATGCATAAATTTTTTTCGAAATTAATTTAAAATTAAAAACAATATTTTAAAATTTCTTCAAAATTTAAAAAAAATTTATTGTTAAAAAATTCATTCATAAAAATTTATTAATAAAAAATTTAAAAAATTTATAAAAAAATTAATTATTTATTAAAAAATTTTTTCGTTTATTAGTTTAAAAAATGGATGAAAAAAATTTAAAAAAAAAATTTTTCATAAAAATCCTCTAATTTCATTTTATTTTTCACATTCTAATTATTATTTTCTTTTAGAGCGCCTAAATTAAACGCCTCTAATACTCCATAAATTAATTCACAGTTATTGGCGATCAAAGGATTTTTAAGAATTTTTTGAAATTTTATTGAAAATCTTTATTTTTAATTTTTTCAGCATACTAAATTGTTTATAATTGGACGCATTTCCGACAGTCGCTTATTTCATGTTTTACGATGTTGTTGATACAATTTATTCGCGATTTATTAAAGCAATAAAATCTTTAAAATCTTACGAACTATAAGATTAAACTATAAATTTCTTCAAGTGAAAAATATAATAAAAAATAAATATAATTGAAATAAATAAAAATAGTTTAAAATACTATGCAAAACAATAAAATTAAATAAAAATAGAAAAGAAAATTTTTTTTTGATTAATTCTATAAATTTTTGCTGTTTCAAATGAAAATATAATAATTGAAATAAATAAAAATAATTTAAAATGCTATGTAAAATGACAAATAATTGAAAAATCTTTTTTTGAATATAATTGACTATTGACAATTAGTTACGAACAAATCAAAAATCCCTTAGATAATTTGAGTTCTAAGCTTATCAATCATTGATACAGACAGATCGCACTGAGCTTATTTTCATTTTCTGTTGCTCAATTTTCTCCGCTATATGATCTGCAAAATTTATTAAATCCCACAGGTCATTAAGGTTAAACATAAAAATTTCATAGCTATTAGTTAAGTTGGCTTTTTCTTTTAATAGACTTTTTTTGTAAATTTTTGTAAATTATTCTAAATATTTTATAAATTCCTTAAATTTATTTTGATTGATGAAAATAATATCAATAAATTATACTAAAATTTAAATTTTTTTAAAATATTTGTCTTTTAATTAAAATTTTGGAATTAAAAATTAAAATTTTTATTAATTATTCGTAAAGAATGTATTTAATATATTTTCCTCATAATTTATCACTGCTTTGGCCTGAATTGTTCATGTAAAAAAGTAAAATTTATGCATCTAATTATCATAAATTTGTTAATTCTTTAAATTTTAATATTAATAATAATATTATTATTTTCAAAAATGATAATAAAAACAGGAAAATAGAAATGGTTAACGCTCACCATTTCTGGTTAATTTATTTCAGTTGGTTGTGATTGTGATTAATGGCTGTGATTTGAAATTTCGCTTGGTGATAAAAGTATAGTATAGAGAATTATCTAGGAATAGAACCGTAGGGTGGATTGCCCAACGTCACTTGGATTTTTCGATAAAAGATTTACTCGCTTTGGATCAAAAATCGAGTATCTCATAAAGGTATTCGATTAGTACCAATTTCAGGAAGCAATTTACTTACTTTCTTTACTTTTTTCTTAATTTTTTTTTTTGAACATGCAGAAATGATCGCCTAAAGGATTAATCGCACGCATTGACGTAGACGACTTTTTACAATTCTATAGCGATTTTTTATTTTTATTTGGATTAATGAAATATGAGAGCCATTCTCTGTATAATTTATTAGTTCATTTATGCATCAGTTGTCGATGATAAAGACGGATATTTTAATAAGCTGCAAATGCTGCTAAAATAATAATCAAAGTTTATGATATCATCCAGATTTATTATTTTAATTTTTTCCATAGTCAAGGATAATTATTGCGATTGACAGTGCTGACGATTTCTTTTGGAAGAAGAGGGGGATGGGTAGGAACGAGAGCAGAGGAGAGGGGGATAGAATGGCATATTGTTTCAAGTGTCATATTGTTTCATATAACGGAAATAAGCTTGACTCAAAATGAAATCAGAGGTGGCACTGGTAATCTACCTCTGTTTTTTATTCCCAGGTGATTCTTTCGCGAAAGATTATAGTGAATTATAGTTAATTGAGCTTGAGATGGGTTAGCTTAATGCGATCTGGATTTCTTAGTAAGTGATTTATTCATGAAAATTCAGATTTATTTATTCATTGCTGAAAATTGAGTATCTCAATTAATTCTATCAAACAAGCCAATGGTTAATTAATTAGTGGTCAAATAAAGCCAATTAAACTGAAAACTGAAAAAGGTGGAGATCTATCTATTCTTCTTCTTCTAACAGCTCTCACCATTACTGGTTAGGCTAACTCCAGCGATCCCATGGGCGATCTCTTAGATGAATATTCGTAATAATAGTTTGAAAAAATGAATCTAATAATATCGATGATAATTTTTTTTTAATGGTCGATTAGGTCGAAATCCTTTTATTTTTCTAAGCCTTAAAGCTTTTTATTTCTTTTTATTTTTGGAAAAAAACATATATAATATATGAAAACATATAAATAAATAAGAAATTTTCGAAACTAGTTGATATTCGAATTTATTTTTAATAAGTTTTTATGGAAAAAAATCGACTGAATAGATTTCTCGAGGGAAAATAGATATTATGTCAAAAATGTCAAAAATCTTTGATAAATCTCTTTTTTATCTTGATAAATTTTTCCAATCTTTTTTTTCTAACTTATTCATTTTCATTGTTTCAGTTCTTTTCTTCGATATTTTTTGTCAATAATTTAATAAAAAAATATTCGCAAAATGAAACCAAACCCTTTATCACTACTTTTATTGTATTTTATCACTACTAAGTGTTTAGATTGAAGATTCACATATTATTGTGAAAAAAGATTGGAAAAAACAAGAAAAAACAAGAAAATAATTTATTTAATTTTTAGAATCATCAGATCGAGCAAAATGGGATGAATATCCATCGAAGAAGGAAGATAACTTATCTTTATGCATTGATGAGCCCACACCTCAACAGCCACTTTCAAAACGCGTTATCAAGGTTGTACATTATCTTATCTTATCAAGCAATATATATATAACCTTGAAAGAATATAATTAATACTTCAAGCACTTTAATTCATCAAGTATTATAGCTTTTAAAAATCCTCTTACCTCATGTTGGGCTCATATTATTGTTATTAACTTATATTGCTATCGGTGCATTAATATTTATGTGGTTGGAGGCAGATAATGAACTGCAGGTAAATTGTAATTTCAAGTGAACTTGGATTTTTGCATTTTCATAAATTTTTATTAACCGAAATGCTTATAGCATATAACTTATGGTTCAAAGAAAATAAAAATTTTTAAAAAAAAAATTTATTTTAAATTATTATTATATAAAATTAATATTGTTTTGTCATTATTCATTAAAAGAAACAATTATTTTTTAAAAAAAATTATTTTAAATTATTGTTATAATATTGTTATTATAAAAATTATTAATTATTATTTTATAATTATTATTCATTGAAAAAAATCAAATATTTTTTTAAAAAAAGATTAAATTATTATTAGTTTAATATTATTTATTAAAGAAAACGATATTGTTTTTAGGTTTGAAATTTGCAAAATTTGCAAATTTTAAATTTCAGATACGCAGAGCGAAGTTGAAAAAGATTTTAGGTGTTTATGGTTTAATTATTAATGAAACAATTAATTTATGTAATTCAGATATTGGTTCCAATCATTCAGTTATTGTAAGTTTCATTGAAAATTTTTATTGATAATGGCAAATTTTTTTAAATCGCCTATAGATATATAAATTTTCCGCCAGCCTTGGTTCTCTATCAAAGGTCCTAAGGTTACTGCGCAGTAAAATTAATTTTCCCGATTTTTCTTTTTTTTGTTTTTTTTCGATTTCTTTTAAAATTTAACAAAAATTCCATTTAAACGCAAATCAAAATATTCAAGATTGAACGACATATGCGGCCACTACTATCAATTTTATCAAGAGCTCATGAACATGACGATCGATTCACTCTAAAAGATCAATTTTGGACTGATGCTGAAGATCAACTGGTCACTAAATGGTCATTTGCTGCTGCTGTTTTATACGCTTTAACTGTTATTACTTCCACAGGTGTACTATTACTTGAAAAAAAAAGAAAAAACCAGTGTGATAGTGTGATGTTCCTTATCATGATATAAACTTATTATCATAGTAGTACTTCTTATTTTCTTATTATGATAGCACTTGCTATTTCTGGATGTGACCGGCTATGAGTGAAATCGCTGCGTTCAAAGTCATTTGATGGTACTCTTATGAGTCGCTCGCAAAGGATCGGAATGATATAACTGATAAATTAATTTATGCTTAGTTATGTTGCAAAATCGAAGTAAACAGATAAAATTTAATTTTATCATCTCTTTTCTTAAAATTATATCATTGACGATGATTTCTATCGACAATTTTCATTTTCTTTTTCTATTAAAAACAAATTATTTATCTTGGTAATTATTAATCTTTAAAATCTTTTTATAGGTTTATTAATCACTAATTTCCTTTCCCTTCGCTATTTCATAACAAAAAAAGAAGCTAATTTCAGGCTATGATCATGTGACACCGAGCACGGATCCTGGAAGAATTTTCACGGTTTTTTTTGGACTTGTTGGTATACCTCTAATGTTCATCACTGCAGCCGATATTGGAAAATTTCTTTCTGGAATCGTTATACGCTCATATAGCAAATTATTAGAAATAATCTCTTGGATAACTACGGTTATTGAGGCAATACGTGTCTATTTGAGAGACGAAGATGATGATTCGATTGATTCGAGGTTTTTCCATTTTTCTTGAATTTATTATTTTAGATAAATACAATCCCGGGTGATGTGATGCTGGCAACTCACCTGTACTTCTATTGCTCGCCAAGCGACTCTCTGGCACATTTGTCCAATGCGACAAGCCAGCGGAGCGCGTTTAACCAGTAATGGTGAAAGCAATAAATACAATCATAGCGGTGATTTTTAATGTAAATTTTCAAAAACCTACAAAAAAGTAGGTGATAACGATGATAACGACGCATTCTTTTCTGGATTTTAATTAAAATTACTCAGTTATAAAGAATTTGTGTATAATTAAAACAATAAGGATTTATATTGAGTACCATCATAGGAAAAGAAGAAAACCACGACCAGCAAATGTGCTGGATGAAGAAGACGATGACGATGATCGTTTACAGTTGCCAATTGCATCATATTTTGCACTTATAATAGGATATTGCGCTATTGGCAGTTTACTGTTCAATCTTTTCGAAAAGGGACCGATATGGTGAATTTTATTTTAATATAAATACGAAGGGTTTTCAAAAATTGGATTGATGTCCATTGTTTTAAAAAATTATTCCTAAAAAATTTTCTTCTAATAAACAATATTCACTTTTGTTGATTTGGTTGGTTCCACTCGTTATTTAGTATCATAGGTGACCAGAGAGTCAAATATCAACTGAGAGTAATAAGAGCTGGGAGTGATAAGCTTATCGTTAAAAGTGAAATTCAAATGATGATCCACTTGCATCTATTTCATAGCGTTTGTCCTTAGCATATACTTATAAATTACCATTACCATTCTCATCTTAAAAATTGCCAAGTGAATTTTTCTTTGAAAAAATTTAAATATGAATTTATTACTTGATTTTAGGTCATTCATGCATGGCTTATTCTTTTCTTTCAATACTATAACAACAATTGGCCTTGGTAATATTTATATCAGAAACAAAATGTATTTAGCGGTGATTTTTCTTTTCCTCGTTTTTTTTAAATTTTACAAAAATAGAACTAATTAAATTTTTAGAAAATAAAAAGAAAAGTTTCATATATTAAAAAAAGGCTTTGATAATTTTAATAATTAAAATTTATTAAAATTTGGAAATTAATTTCAGTTAGTAATAGCGTATGTGGTGATTGGTTTAGCCGTAATCACCGCTTCACTTGATTTGTGCAGTTCAACATTAAAGAGAACTTTTACAAAATTACATTATTTTGGACGTAAAATTAGAGGTGCAAGACGTGGTTTTGCAAATGTTAGCGATGATATTCGAGAAGCCATGCGAATTATTGCTGCATTAAAAAAAACAAGGTAATTCAACACCAATTTATTAATAATACAACAAAAAAAATTTCGTTTTTTACACTTTCTTATTTCTCTTAACTGATTAACTGATTAACTGATTAGTTGTGATTACGATTTAAAAAAAAAATTTTTTTTTATAGACCAAGTAAAGAACGTATTACATTAGAAGATTTGAAAAGATTTCTTGCTGTCCAAGAGCATCTTATACGACAACCATATGTTCCATATAATATACATATTTTTCGATGGATTGAAGATGCGGTTTGTTTCCATATCGTTTTTCTTCTTTATTGGTTTACTTTTGTTCCGAGGAATTATTCTTTGAACAAAACAAAGTGCAATTCCATGAGACTACTTGAAGATTTCATGATAAGTTCACTCCATATCAAAAAGATAAAAATCGAAATAGTCCATAGCGAGATTTATTGTAGCTGGTTTATTTTTTTATTCTAAGATCGAACATATTTATTTATTGAAAACCAGCCAAGCAGGGCGCAAACGCTATGTGCTTGTATTAATAACAACAGTTAAAATAACAAATAATAAGAATTAATGACAAAAAACAAAAAAATAATAGTAATAATGAATAAAATAAATTTGCAGTTCAATTTACAAAATAAATTTACAAAACAATCTACAGTTTAAAATAAATACATAGTATGCTTCCGTTGATTCGTAGATGTATATCATAGATCTCGAATAAATACAAACTGATAAACTGATTAAGAAAAAATTATTGTGATAAATTATTAATAACTAATTTATTGCAGTATGCACAATATTTCGATGAAGCAGGCGTATTGAACGATAAAGAAAAAATTCCACCACCTCAATCGTATTTTTTCTAAATTGCTCAATAATTTATAATTTCTCTTAAATGCAATGTCTTTCCATAAATAATGTTGTGTGTGCACGAAAATGAATTGGAAAAATTTCGAGAAAATATTTTCTTTTTTTCTGTACAGAAATATTCATCAAAATTCAAAATTCACTAAATTTGTTGCATTACTTTTTTTTTTAAATTTTTATTTTCATGAAAATTTAAAAAGGAAATTTTTTTAAAAACTGATGGATAATGATCGTATAAATCGCTTTCTTTCATTCAGTGAATAAAATACATTAATAAATTTTAATATTTTAATAATAATAAAAAATAAAATACTCAATAAAATATTATCCAATGAAATTTGCATTTTTTTTAACGATAAATATATATCATTTTAGCGAGAAATTTAAAGCAATTGATATGATGATTGATATTTTATCAGATCTATCAGATATATAAAATTAGGCTTATGCCCGAAGGCACTCAAAATTAATGCTATTAGTAGTTTTCTGCGACAGAAAGGAACGTAATTTATCAGAATGATCATTCTTCATTTTATTATTTCGAAGTGTGGTTCGCTGTAGCAGCGAAAAATTTCGAGTAGTAATATTGAGGATCAACACTTTTTTTTAAATCTCAGGTGACTCACGTATTATAAAAGTCCTCAGTGGAACGAGTAAGAGCCAGTGGAACGAGTAAATAAAAAGTGCGAAATTTTCAAGAAATTGTAGAAACTTTTGTTGCAGTTTATTCTTATCAAATTCAGGAATTAAGAAGTTTAATATTTAAAGATTAATTATATTCATCAGACATTTACGATTAAAATTCGATTTGCAAATGATTTATCTGGTTGTAATAATAAAATTTCTAAAATTCTTGCTTTATCTTTGGCACTGATAATGAAATATCTAAAATATCTAAAATATTTAAATCCACAAAAACCAAACTGATCAGAAATGAATAAAAAATTTATTTGAGCAAAAATATTTCTTCTAATCACCAGATAGTGAAAATTTTTCGAAAACTAAAAATCACGAGAAAATTACAAAAAACTTTGTTTTGAAAATCAAAGATGCAATTCATTAATAGATATTTTTTGGTAAAAATTGAATTTAAAAATGAATAAGAATTAAATGTTTTTTCTTTGGCACTTTCCACTTTTCATATTATTTAAATGTTGACGTTATAGCATTATCGAATATTGAAAAACCTCATCCTAAGTTTAAAAATTTAAGATAAATTGAAATAAAAATTAAAATAACAAAATCAATTTCTAATGAACAAATTTCATCCCTGAAATATCAAGACTTTTTGCTCCAAATTACCATTCATTAATTTACAAACTTGTAAGAAGTTCGAAAAAACTGAACATTCTTTAATTTTCCATCATCAAAATCAAATTAATGGAAATTTTTTAAAGCAAAATCAATGGAAACCAGCTCCATTACATATATTTAATCCACTTCTAAAATTTGAATTATTCCTCGACTATTTGCAGCCACAATCACATTGGATTTCTGAAAATATTTTTTTCTAAATAATCGAAATTTAAAAATTGTTTGAAAAACTTCACTCATTTTAAGGGTGTATATGTAAAAGTAAATTTAAAAAATTTTATAAAGAAAACCTCAAAAAAATTTAATCCATCCTTTTAGAATACGCAGAAAAGAATAAAGAAAAACGCCATGAATAAATATTGAACAAAATTAGGAAATCGTTAAGAGATAAAATTGAAAAATAAAGAAAACCTTTTTCCAACATACAGCCGAAACAAAATCATTTGCTGAATCAACAGATAATGGTACACATTCTGCAAAACTAAAATCATACCGCAAAATTGGATCAGTCAATCCTTTGTAATATAAAAATAGTTGATTATCCTCCGACCCTTAAAACAATCTCAATTCACTGATACAATAAAATTTTTAATTATAAATTAACAGAAATAATTTAGTTAATAGTTTTTTAATATGAAAAAATTCAAAAAAATTTAAGTGATAAGATCAAAAAGATAAAATAAATTATATATTCCTAAAAAAAGAAATATACTGTTAATACATTGATGAATCATAAAAAACACGCATAACTAAGAATCTTTTTGCAACAAATAATATTTAAAACATTTAAATTTCAACATTAAACTTCTCGAAAAATCTTTAATACAAATTTTATTTCTTGTTAACAAAAACATGTTGATTGTAATGGTTATTATTTTGATTATGGCTGATAAAATTTTATTGCCGAAATGTGTTCATATAAATTTTATTGTTAAAACCATCAATATTCTTTTCTCAGCCTAATATTAAATTTAAGCAGCATTATCAAGAACATACCGCAAGCAATATGTCGACCATTTGTAGCTAAACCAGCAAAATTCCTTTCATTCTGATGACCTTTCATGATACGAATACATTTTCCACTGCTTACATCCCAAAGGCGTAAATTACTATCAGTTGATCTATAAAAATTTTTAAAACTGGTACTTCCCTCGGTTAAAAATCCCTCCTAATGCTAGTTAATGCTAACTAATAATTGCTAATATAATTAGCAATTAAAAACTATTATTTAAACTTTTAACTTTGAACTTTTCGAGAATTTTTTACACAAAAATATGAAAAATAAAGGAAAAATTTACGCTGAGACTAATTCATTCTCATTGCAATATTTCACATAAGAAACTGCTTTACGATGTCCGCGTAAGATGTTAACAGCCTTTGATATATTGCGAGTGTCATAGAGATGGACACAATGATCTACAAAGCAGATAAAACTAAATTTCAAAATGGTAAAATGGTAAGATGAAGATAAGCTAATAAAGCGAGACAATGGAATATAAAAAACACAAAAATCCAAGAATCTTAGGTTATTTTGACCGAGCAAATAAAGCAAAAAAATAACAAACCAGCAGAACCAAATGCTAAATTGTGCCTTGACATGGGGCTAAAATGCACGCTGCAAACATTCACTTTAGCTTCGATAGTTGCAATCGAACGTGAGCAATTTAGGGACCACAATTTCACCTATTAACCATGACTTATATATAATGTATATATATATATATATATATACCATATTGGCACAATCAAATTGGCAAAAAAATTTTTTTGAATTTATGAATAATTTTAGCATACCTTAGCATCGTCCGATCCAGAAGCCATAATATGAGGATCTATTTGGTTGAATTCGACTGACCAGCAACGCCTTTGGTGTTCCTAAAATATCCAACATAGATTCTTTAAAAAAATATACAAAATATTTAATATTAAAATATTAAATAAATTAAATTGAAACAAAAAATAAAATAAAAAATAAATAAATTGATAAATTAATCGAAAAAGATTACAAAAACACAAGTTCTCATATTATCCTTATATACAAGCAATATTCAATTTAATAATTAAATAATAATTTAATTATTAATTTAATTTCATTAATTTAATAAATGTTTTATTAATAATAAAATAAAATAATAATTTATTCATTTAATTAAATTAATTAAATTAATAAAAAATTGAATTAATTAAATTAAATTAATAATAAAAATAAAAAATAAAAACCTTATAAAATTTAACATCTTTACACTGCTTTGTATCCCAAATATGAATATTTCCTTCATAATCACTATTAACCAACATCGATTTAATGAAAGGGTTCCATGCCACATTACTGAATATTTTCCGAATTAGGAAATGCCAAAAGAAATTCTGGCTTTATTAATTTCTATAAAAGAGAGGCTCGATGGAAAAAGAAAGAAAAACCTTATTTTTGAAGGACACGTGAGTTGCATGATCGGATGACGAATTGATTCATGCGAAACTTCGACAATGCTATTGTAATCATATATGTTAATTTTGTTTGTAACTCCAGCAACGACGAAATATTCTTCATCTTTATCGAATTCTATGCTAAAAAAAATAATTTATGCAAAAAATAATCTATAGCTTTCGTTGATTTTTAGCGATATGAAATAATATTATCAAATTAGAAAAAAAAAAGATGAACCTAGAAACGATTGATAATGGATTTCCAACCAGACACGAATTATAATCTAGAACGGCCAAACGATTAAACTTTTCATATTCGATTACACCATACAACATATCAGAAAAATCATTTAGATCGGCTTCACACATTCCATCAGAATTACCTAAAAAGTAAGCATTATTTATAGCATTACTTATACATAAATTTATATAAATTAATATTTGTAGCAAAATGCCAATATTTAAAGTCAATTTACTCCGACCCAGTTTTTTATTTCTACGATGCGGCTTTAATACAATTATGGTTATGCATGATCCGAATATTGTGGGTGTCCTATTTCAAATTTAAACACATTTCAAATAGAACCGCAAACCGTATTGAGCTCCATTGCCTCAGTAAAATTCATATATTTTTAATATTATTTTAATATTTTACTACTGACATTTGATGTCTCATAAAAATCACATCTCATAAAAATCTAATTTTTTCCTCATCTTCTACTCTCCATTTCTAGTTTATTTATTTATGACTTTTGAATTTTTGGCCAGTTTTAAATACTATTAGATTATCACACTCTACACACTCTCTTGGAAGCAAGTAAATAATTTTCAAGCTCAAATCCCAAGCTTAACTTCTTCAACAGAATTCAACTTTTCATGACAACTCTATCAATCAGATCTGTTCAATCACAGCCACATATCACCAGGAAATTCTGTTCCCAGCCAAAATAGAAATTTAATTAAAAAACAAAAATATTTACTCCAATCATTATTTCGCTTGTTGAAATATAACTGCTCGATATTGCTGAAATTGTTACTCAAACGAGAATGAAATCTATGCAAATCTTCGCGTGACAATAATCCATCACCATCTGTTACAGATAAATTATCACCTTTTATCTTCGTAAACGCAGAATATGATGCCATTGCACTACTGTGGCAAGCATATTTATCACATAAATTGCAGTCCTTAAATATTTCTAAATTATAAACAACGAATTAAGGTTACAAATACGATGATGACAAAATATGATGACAAAAATTCCCAATAAACTTCTTTAAAAATTTGTTATAATTTATTATAAATAAAATTTATTATAATTTGAGTTCCATGAATGAGTTTCTTCATATCATTCCTAAGATAAAATACCAATCGCTGATAAAATCAATTTAAGTCAATTTCAAAATCAATTTAAGACCTTTAAAATTAATTAACTATAGATGGAATTAATTATTGATTAAAACAATAGTTTAAAAAATAAAAAGCACCAAGAAATTAGTATTCATTTCCATTTTGATTTTATCACTCTTGATCAATTTCAATTCAAGTTCGGCTTGTTTTATGATATTTTCACGACGAGCAATCATCTGATCCATAAATTGCCGCAATAATCGAGCTTTTTTCTTTTTATTTAAATAACCTATTTCGAGACGACGTTTATTTAGAAAACTTATTACATGATCAAGCGATTCACTATCCAAATTGTTCAATTGATTTAAAAGCTCGTTTAGATTTCCATTATCATCATATAGTCTAGTTGGCTAAAATATTATTAAATTATTTATCACGGCAAAAAAAGCCATTTTCTATTTAAAAATCCCAATAGTACTATTAAAAAAATCTAACAAAATCTAATAAATATTATATTCTACCGATGCATGCACAATAAATTCAGGTTTTCAGGTTTTTCAGGTTTTTCTTCAGGTTTTAAAAAAATTTAAGAACAAATGAAAAAATAAAAAAAAAAGTACTCGATTTTTTCCATATTTTCGACTTATTTCTATTTGCGCTCTCAATGTTTCTGTCGCTTCTGCTACAGTTATATTTGGAGAAATTAGAAGTTTCGACGATTTTAACAAGTTTTTTCGACATATCGGACATAATGAATGATTTTCCAAATGAGCGCTTATACATACTCGACTGCAATAAGTAATAAAATTAAAATTAAATAATGAACATAATAACGCAAACAAATAGCAATAAAATAAAATATAAGTAACGCTAAGCAGAAAATGAGGATTAAATCGTTATCTAGCACAAATGCCTATTTTCTGAATCTGAAAACTAAAAATTTAATAATCTGCGAGGGTTACAGAATTACCATATTGTTTCGGCAATGCTTTGGCAAAAATTAGTGTTTTTAACTTTTGAATCTTAAAATAAATTTTCCATTGAAAGTAAAGACTCAACTGCTTAACTACACTATTCCCAGATGATTAGAAATTAATGAGACAGCCAAAAAAATGGGGAATGGTTTTTAGAAGAAAAATAATTTGCATGCATGTTTCCAAAAAAAAGTGTCGGACATATAAACCTCGGTCTGCGAAAATACTATAAATATTTTTTGATATCCACGACCTATTACCTATTTTTTACAATTTCCATGCATTCTAGTACACTTTTTCGAATCTTCTTGTATTATCTCCATTGACATAGTAACATCAACTCGAATCCCTTTATATTAATTCACTGTTCATTCCGCAAATATCTGTGCTATAAATCTTTAATAGCGACGCCCTTCGACGCCCTTGAACACCATTAATGATTTACATTTAACGTTGGTTGGTTAGAAGAAACTTTTTTGGTGAGAAATCGATCGAAAATTTAATAACAGGAATAATACTTTACCAAAATGTATGCCCGCAAGCTGTTGAATATGGTTCATTGAATAACTGAAGACAAATTTGACTGTAAAAAAAAAAAGCTTTAACGATTATTTTCACTTTTATAAAATTTTTTCTTATAATGATAATAATTCTTATAGTGATAATAAATCAACGCAAGGCATATCTTTGATAAAGAATAAGTACCACAAATTTGGCAATAATTTCTACCAGACAATTATAAAAATACAAACATTTTTGTATTTCCTCATCCAAACAAACTGAAAATGCTTTCCCCTTTCCCGTCGTTTTCTATATTCTCAAATTATGGATAATTCCTTATACTTTTATTTTATCAATAATGATTAGTTTATTTGCACTACGTCTATGATTTTGAAATTTCTATACCTTTTCTTTTTCGAAATTAATGAACTAAAAACATCAAAAATATATTACAATTTTGGCTGGCTTATGGCATTAGACGAATATGCCAGAGAGTCAATTGGCGACAGAAATACAGGTGAGTCGTCAGCATCACCCGGATTTTTGGACAGGTTTGCTGTTGCAGGAAAAGAATCCCGGCCCATTGGGCCATTTTATTCCCCTCCCCTCTATCCGATATTTATGATGAGAAAACATCAATATGAATAAAAGTTAACCAAGTTAACGTTTTCGAATCCGTTTGCAGTGAATTACTTGTGTCATTCGCAATAAAAGAGGAATCAAGCGGAGTTGCACGTTCGCTTTCGGGTTCAATGAGATTACGAAGACCCGACGATAATGATAGTGGAAGAAAACGCTTCACTTGCGGTTCATCATTTCGCGATTCTTCATACTCATCATTTTGTCGACTCGCTTCGCCTGATATTTGATCACCGTGAATGATTAGTTGAGAAGAAGATCGCTTTCGTGACGTACCAGCTTCATCAGCTGACATATCGCACCAAAATTTGCACCAAATGAAATCAAACCAAAATAAAGCAATAAAAAATCTTCATCAGAAATCACCAGAATCACCAAAAAAAAACACGTTTAGAAATGCCAATGCAGCCGACTATTAGTAATCCCGAATGATTTCTAAATTTCAGCCCAATACCATAATTTAAATTTTTAAATTTTCAAATTTTTTCTCCATTATTTTAGTCAATTCGAACGATTTTTTTATTAATTAAATTTTTTAAAAATTGTTTTGGTTCTTTTTTAAATTAATTTTTTAAAAATTTTTTTATCATTTATTATTATTTGTTAATTTTAGATTGGTTTTTGATTTAATTTTTTAAAATTTTTTTCATTGCAAATTTTTTTTGAATTTTAATTAATTTTCTTTATTTTTTAAAAAATTTATAATTTTTTTCGAAAAATAAGCGAAAGAATAAATAAATATTTTTTGCGAATGGTGCAAAAAAA